TGTAAGAAATTGTGCTTCCAACATTTGGTTTGAATCTAACAGCTGCTCCATGGGAGAAAGATGATTTGTGTGATTTACTTACTACTGCTGAAGCTGACTAGAGGGTTAGCCATGAGTTAATTTTGTCTTAATGGTACATAACAACAACAACAACAACAACAGCAGCATCTAGGATGAAACTGACAAGAACAACTCAAAATTTAAGACTGAAATCTAAAGAGAGAAAGAGAGAGAGAGAGAGAGAGAGAGAATATTAAATAGACAATGAATAACTCCATGAAGAATAAAAATGGCTCACAACCTTAAGATTGGTGTCACAGGATTGCTTGAACTGGTGTATGTTTTGCTTTGTATATTTTCAATAACAACAACAACAAAATATATTTTAAAAAAAGAATGGATTATCTTTCCATTTGTAGTCAAAACACAGTATTGCTTATGTCCTTATAAAAATGTAGCTGGTATCACGTGGAAAAGATAATGCAGATTCTTACTATTAATAATGAGTAAAAACATGAACTGTTACTATCTATGCTTTGCTTAGGACACTGGTAACAGACATGGAACCTAAGGGTCTACGGTCATTCAAAATTCTGCTCTGCCTTCTGTGCCCAAAGACAGTGTATTTCTTTGGGTAAACTTTTATTACTTAATCCTAATGTACTGTTATGTTAGTACACAGCAACTCTATATATCATGACTTAAAAAATATTTTTATCATTCATATACATTGTTTTTTATGTGCATACATTATGCATAATACATTCTTTCATTTAAAGCAATGACTTTTGCCTGTTTCTTTCCTAGTTTATGACTAAAGCTAGAACTGGGCATTCACAAAAACAGATTATCTGTTATATGGGAACACCGTGCTCTACTCATCACAGGAGTCTAGGAATTTATCATTTAAAAAATCTCAGCTGATCTTAATTCATCTGATCTGAATCTTAATTCATCTGATCTGCTCCTCCATCATTCCAATCCCTCATGCTGATCATTACCATCCATGATAATACAGCAGGGAAATCCCTGAATACCTATCATTAGGAAGACAACTTGATGCTCTACTAACCTCTTTTCGGCCTTTGACAGTTTTCACGGATTTCATGCTTTGCGATCTTCGAAGTCCTTTATGTGTTAACATCTCGTCATCTGAGTATGGCCCATTCTCCTCGTCTGTTTTCTCCTCTCTGTCTTTCTGTGGAATTCCATACCCTGTTTGAATATTACCTGTTGTTAGAACAGCACATTTGGGTGAAAAGCTGCGAGGTAGCACTAGCTCCCTCTATCCTTTACATAGTTCCAGTTGGCCAGTACACCTTTTCCTATCTGGGCATGTGTCCCCTGCTCTTCATGATTAATCTTTACCCATTGCTCTATTCCAGATGAGGGTGATTACTCACTTCCACCATTAGTTGGTCTCTGGTCATTTTGAATTTTATTATGCATTTTCAGAGTTAAATTAAAAAATCTATTTGTGTAGGTAATATTGTTGTTGTTGTATACCACTGAGTCAGAACCAACTCATAGCTGACCCTCCAGTTTTCAGAGGCAGTAAATTGCATAGAAGGAGAATGCTCATCCTTTTCCCTCATCCTTTTCCCAACTGGTGGATTTGAACTGCATGTCCTTGGGACTGCAGTGCAACTTCTTTTTTAAAAAATTTTATTATTTTTGTGTATGTGTACTGTCAAACCGGATCCAAATGGTACAGGAGGAGACTGCCCCTCCTTCTCCAGTGGAGCATCTGGTAGATTCGAACAACGTGCCCTAAGGATCGCAGCACAGCTTCTTGCCACTAGGCCACCAGAACTCCTGCATTGCAGCTTCTTACCCCTAGGCCACCAGAGTTCCCTGTGTCTGTAATATGTTCATCTTATTAAAAATAAGAAAGAAAGAAAAAGCCTATAGGTACATAGTGAAGTCTTTTCATTCTGTGTCCTATTCATGAATTCTAAACAGTCCTTCCTAGTAGCACTGTGTGATCTAGTGGGTCATCTGCTTCTGTGGTTTAAATGAGGAGTTGAGGTTTTAAGCCTCTGTGTACCTTATCTTTGGTCAAGACTGGGAATGACAGGGGTTGAGGAAGACTCAACCAAATCAAACCAGTTACTATCCTGCCAATTCCAACTCTGGTGATTCCATATGTGTTAAGAGTAGAAACATGTTAAACCAGCTTGGTGTTTTCAATGGCTGTGACCTTTTTGCAGGCACACTGGTATACCTTTCTTCTAAGGCACCCCTGGGTAGATTCACTAGCTCAGTATTTAACCATTTGCACCTCAAGGTAACCTAAATAAGACCCAAAGATAACAGAAATTCGGGCTAGTTATGTCTCTGTGTGGTGAAACAGTTTGCACTGGGCTACTAACGTAAAGTCTGGGGGGTTAGATACACTCAGTGGGGCCATGGAAGAAAGGTATGATGATCTGCTTATGCTACTGTTACAGCAAAAAAACACTATGGAGCAGCTTGCCTCAATAACACGCGGCATCGCCCTGAGTAAGAACTGACTTTCTTTGCAGTACAGAAAAAAAAACAACTAAAAAATCCACTACTATTCACTGCAGGGAGCTGATGGAGATGTTGCAGCTGCTGAGATAAAACTCAGCCAGACAGGCTGCCATAACTAGAAACACTGCAGACTGTGATGACAGATGTTAGTCAAAGGGAATACCCAGCATCAGGAAGGTCAGGAGAGATCGTGTGGGTGTGCTAACAAAGCCTTAATGTGAGCCAGGGTGCAAACACGCAGGCTGCCACATTGGTGCAAGTCAGGAAGTCTGAGAGGAAGAGCCTGGGATTCAGGAAGAACTCTCCTATCCCTCAAACAGTTGTTCTCAAATTTTAGCACCTATCAGAGTCACTTGGAGTACTTGCTAACACACAGATTGCTATAGTCCCACATCCCAAGTTTCTATTTCAGTGGTGTAGTGATTAAAGAATTTGGCAGCTAACCAGAAGGTCAGTGTTTTTGAACCCACCAGCTGTTCCAAGGGAGAATGACGAGGCAGCCTGCTTCCCTACGGATTTACAGCCTATGAAACTGTAGGTGCTGTTCAACCACTGCAGTCGTAACTGACTTGATGGTAGTGTGTTTGGTTTTTGGGTTGCGGCTGGGCTGAGAAGCTGCATTTCTAACAAATTACCCAGAGATGCTTATGATGCTGATCTGGAGCTCACACTTTGTGAACCACAGCCTGCGGATTTAGAGAGAGGAACCACAGCCTGCGGATTTAGAGAGAGGAAGACATGTAACCACATCTAAGACAAGCAGAACACTGGATAGGCTGTGAAGGTGGCGGTGAGAGGAGGTCTGGATAGAGTGGGTAAAAATGTGGAACAAAAATCAAAAGCATAAAAATGGCCTGGGTACTGGTCTGATAGAGGCTAGTGTAACCCGTAGACTATGGCCCTGAATCACTCTCAGTGGTTCTCTTCCTACCCCAGTAACAGATAGGTAGGTCTAGAAGGTGAACAATAATACCAGGAAGTACCCACTCTTTAGAGCAATCAACCACACAGGATTCAAAAGGACAGCAGCTGCCCGGGGATAAAGTTCAGAAAGCTGCAAGGAGCAGATAGAAGGATTAATGGAAACAAAACTCACAGGGAAGTGGAAACATTGTGGTTACTGCAATTAATGTCAAAAAAACCAAATGTGCGTGAAGGGTTCAGTGGAGAACGGATTTGTTCCGTAAACCTCCACGAAAATTAAAAAGAATTAAAAAAACAAAAACAAACAAACAAACAAACAAACAAAAAAACAAAACAAAGAAGAAGGGAATGAGGTTATAAGACTCTGTTAAGTTTGAAATTTTCCTTTAATGAAGATAAAGTAGTATAACTGGTGCATTCTGAGATAATCTGAAAGGTTTCCAGATTCATGAGAAGGCCAGGACAGACTTCCTACATATCAAGAAAAACACACTCTGTAAAAGGTTTATGAATTTGTTCTACTAGGACATAAACAGGGAACTCTGGTGGCCCAGTGCTAAGAAGCTATGCTGCCATCCCAAAGATACACAGTTCAAATCTACCAGCTGCTCCTTGGGAGACAAATGCCAAGTGATTTACTGCCTCTGAAAACCTGCAGGAGTGTCAGCTATGGGTCAGTTCCAACTCCACAGCACATAACAACAGGACACAGATATTTTGAGACCCACTAAGCAAACTATAGGAAGTTCTGGTGGCCTAGTGGGTTAAAAGTTGTGCTGTCAACACAAAGACAAGTGGTCTGAATTCACCAGCTACCCTGAGGGAGAGAGATGGGCAGTCTCCTCCCTTAAGATTCATAGCCTCTGAAAACCCACTGGAGGGTAGATCAGCTGTGACTTGCTTCTGTCAATAGCAAAGAACAACAACAACAAGCAAACTATGAAGAGATGATAATCTGCTTCTTGTTGTCATAATAACATAAAAACTTTTCATTGCAAATTGGACAGGTATAGTTGTTTTGTGCTCCCAGACCTTTAGAGTAGAAATTAAGAAAGAGTAGGGAGCAGAATCAGTCTGTTATTATTTCAGAACACACCAATTATGACATGCTTATAATGTACACTAGAATATAGGTACAAGTTTGTTCTTGAACTCAAGTATGTAATTTCAACACATTCCCATTCGATTAATCCCATTTTCCAAACTGAGTCATCTTTTGTGATCTTAAAATCCTTTAAGTTGTAAGTCAGTATCTTTATTTATTCATGGCATTTACAATAAAGAAGGTTTAACTGCTTAGATGAAACCACCCAGTATGAGCAGCTAGAGTATTGATGATAGGTCAAAATTAATAGTGGAAATGCAGAGATGGTGGTATTTACCCTCAGAACTTTTAAAAATTAATGGCAGCACATGACATTACTGCTCCTTTCTTAGTTGTCTTATCTCTGGGTCAGGAAAAGGTAAATACAACCACAATTAGGAAAAAATGTAAAGAAAGAGTGTCGAACTGGGAATATATGCTCAGAAGTAAATTAGGCCTACCAACCACATTCAGACAGTTACCATGTTAGAACAAATCAATTATAACACATTGCTAATTTATACTGGAATATACCTACAAGTTAGTGCTTGAATGAAAGTGTCACTTCAACACATTCCTCACTTGATTAATCCTATTTTCAAACAGAGTCAGCATGTATGAGTTTCTTAACATTCTTTATCTTCTTAAGTTCCCATGAATTAATCACCTGAATTTTCTGCCTTGACCAGCCAGCACAATTATAAAAACAAAATTAAATTTTGGTGGTTCTCATCATCATTTGGTAGAATTCTCATCTTTAGAGAAGGAGACTTGGGTTCAAATGCTAGTCAATGTACCCTGAGTGCAGCTACCAAAGGAATGGCAAAGATGATGACCAGGTTTCATCAGAGAGATCATACTAAAAGACTAGGAAGAAAGGCCTGGCAAGTAGTTTTTAAAAACTAGCAGTCAAAATCCTATAGATCACAACGGATTGGTCCTTTTGTGTACGGAGGACCACGAGCTGGGGGTCAGTTTGATGTATACATATTTCAACAACCAAGCATACCTGCTGATTCACTGGGTGCTGGTTTACTTTTCTTTCTTGCGTCTGGCAGAGGTTGGTAAGGTTTCTGCCCTACTGGCTCATCACCTTGAATGGCTGTTAAGTCATGCATACTGAAACTTCTTAAACGTTCAGTTATTGCTCCTTGGCTCTATTTAGCAGAGAAGTGACAGATTCAAGAAAAGAAAAAGAAAAAAAAGATACTTTAAAACATTTAACATGCGTAAATGTAACTATTTATGTACTTTCTCAGTTTATCATGGAATTCTCAGAAAAACTGAACGGGACATTTTGCCCTATTTGTCTCAGCACATATCTTTTCAACCTCCCAGCTCACCAACAACCCATTTTATTTTTTATGTATTTTCAAAGTAAATTGTACAAACTAGTACATTTCACCTTTAAACATTACAGCATTAAACATAATTTGAAGGTGTAAAGCACTTGTGATAAGCTTATCTTTAGAGCAAATAGCATCCATAATTTTGCTTTCTCCTGGAACTAGTACATTAGGGCTTAAATTTATACTTTAGAAGGACCTTTTAAAGTACACCAGACACCATTCTAGAACTAATTAAAGTCAAGAGTGATAATGGCTCTACTCAGACAAGGCAAAAAACTTAAGGGCCAGAGAATCCTGGCTATAAAATGACATTCTGTTATTAAGGAGTTCTAGTTGCCTAGTGGGTAAGGAGTTGCACTGCCAACCCAAAGGCAGGCAATGTGAACCTACCACTTGCTTGAAGAAGACAGATGGGCAATCTGCTCCTGTGTGATTTACAGTCTCTGAAAACCTGCTGGAGGGTCAGCTATGAGTTGGTTGACCTGATGCAAATGGCAGGGCGGGCTTTAGGGGAAGTGGTTTATTGAGTTAATAAACAGACATACCTAGTAAGGCATATACATTACTATATAATTTGACTTTAGGCCATTTTATAATAATATCATAGCTACTAGTCATATGTGGCTATTTAAATTAAAATTAAAAATTCAGTTTCTTAGTTGCACTAGCCGTATTCCAAATGCTTATCAGCTGCATGTGGCCAGTATCCACTGTATTGGGCAATACAGATACAGAACACTGTTCACTGCAGAAAATGTGTCATCAGTATGTAGCTCTCTCTCTAAGGTATGTTTCTGAACTTCAGACATGACATATTCTCCTCCAAATTATAAAGCTTTGTAAAAAGAGAGGGGGAAAAATCACTTCTAAATTTATCCACTTTGAAAAATTTACATAGCATATAGATGATTCATTTCTTATTTATAACTACATTAAAAATATTCTTCTAAAGGTTTTTACGCTTAGCTTATTATTTCTTCTTGTCAGAGATTTATGACTACTTCTAGTTATGTTACCGTAGAAACCCATCTACAATGGTTCAACTCTAAATTTCAAGGCCTAACAGTATTAGAGTCAACATGTATTGTATACTGAAGAAAAAGGTCTTGTTTCGACTACTCAGGATTAGGAATACTGCATTATGTCAAAACTAGATGCCATTTCCCACTGGAATTTTGTATTTCTATCACATTTTTTGAATTATGAAAAGGAATTATTAAAGCTCTGTTGCCTAGAAGCTGTCTGGATTCACGGCCACATCATGAACCTGTCTGAGTAGACCTGTGCTCCAAAGGGTTTTCACTGGATGCAGAGCATCAGACCTTTCTTCTAGGCAACTCTACTTGAATTTGAACCACCAACCTTTTGGTTAGCAGTACAGTGTAAAAAGTTGGAATTTTAGGTATTTAAGGGTCTATACTCCTAATAGGGAGGGAGCTCTGGTGGCCTAGTGCTAAGGTGCTGTGCTGCTAACCCAAAGGCATGTGGTTCAAATCCACCAGCTCATCTGTGGGAAAAGATGGGCAATCTCCTCCTCCACTATTATACTGCCTCTGAAAGCCTGCTGGTGAGTCTGTTATAGGTCAGTTCTGACCTGATGGTACAAAGAAGCAACAACATATTTTCAATAGGCTACATTTCCAGTGCACTGCCAACCCAAAGGCAGGCCTTTAGAATCCACAAGCTGACTCTCAGAAGAAAGATAGGAAATCTGTTTCTTGCAATTTATAGTCTCTGAAAACCTACTGGAGGGTGAGCTACAGGTCAGTTCCAACTTGATGGCATATACAACAATAATATATCATCAATTAAAAAATCATATCTCAGTCAAACATCACACATTTAAAAAATATTTTTGGCATGATATGACACATTATACTTTATTCCTCCTTCATCAGATAATTTACTTATTAAACAGAAGACTTTAGAGTCACACTAAAAGCACCAATGCTTGTTGCAAGCCTGGCTTTCTGGGAAATGTAATTTTCTTTGTCCTTCTTTTGTATTCCTGTGCCCTCTGTTTGCCTCTCAGCAATTCCTTTTTCCTACTGTCAGATAGTAGGAAAATGGCATATGTGGCCCTGATACCATCTACCCATCAGGTGCAATGCCCAAGACTCCCTCTAACTCCCAAACCTGCTTACATTCAGGAAAACACATCTCAGAATGCAAATGAGTCCAAGTGCCATTGAATTAGAATTGGTCTAGTTTTATAATTCTGTCTTTCATAAACCTTGCTACTTTTAAAGATGATAATCTATAAATTAGGGCACATTTCACCAATAAATTTATACACCATTACTAGCTCCACTGTTGTGCTTTGAATATTCTGCCTCCAGTGCACATTTTAAGAAATGAGAGAGGCGGGACAAGCGTTAGGCTCCATCTGTCTCACTCTGTACTACTGTATGATACTGAGTTTATATAATAAAGTAAAACTTCCTTTTTATGCTTCTCCTTTTTCATTACTCTTTCCCATTAGAGAGTTCTACACATTCAGGGCCTCAAGTATTATCTTCAAGGAAGGAAGGCCAGGCACCGTAAGGAAAAGCCGAAGGTCCTCTTTTTGGACCCTAATATCACAGTACCCACTATCATTTTGAGAAATTTTCTGTTGTCTATTTTTCTATGTGACCAAAACAGAACTAATATAGGAAGGGATAGTTAATGTAGTATTGTAAGCGTTAGTACCCAATCTTTAAAGGAGAATTGTTAATTATAAAATATTCACATCAAAAGGCAGACCAATTCCCTCCAGATTGTCTGTTTTCTTGGACAAAGCTAATGGACAAAAGGGTCATTAATAAGGGAATTATGTTTACACACTAACTCTTTGCCACTCATTCGGAAGTGACTCATAGCTGACATTCCAGCTGGTTTTCAGTTGTAAATCACACGGGATAATGTGGGCTCCTTGTTCTCTCGTGGAGCTGCGGATGGATTTGAACCACCACACGGGTACCACATTTGGTTTACTGGTGCAGCTCCCTAGGGACTACGCCACCGATCCTCCACAATGTTAAAGGAGCCCTAGTAATGCAGTGGTTAAGCATTCAGCAGCTATCTATAAGGTCAGAGGTGTGCTTCCCTAAAAATTATAGTCTTGGAAACACATAGGGCAGCTCTACACTATCCTCCAGGGTCACCATGAGTTGGGACCAATTTAATGGCATCAGGTCTAGTTTTTCCACATAATATTAAGTGGCTTTTTAAAACCTCACATTAAAAACATACCTCTACCCTGGAATTTTAATTCATAATATTTAACTTATGAATACTACAGTTACATGGATGTGGATAAAAATATGTGAAAAATTATCTGAAAAAAGAAAGCTTAGGTACAATAGATGGGATTTCCCTGCCCAACAATTCTTCAATATTATAAAATTAATCAAAGATCTTACAGTATAGTAACATGATGCATTATTAAAACTCTTGATTCCATTTCTATTCATATTTGTACTATCTAGTTCTCTTAGTCACATCATAAAATAAATAAGGAGGACTAAACAAGAGCTGATGCTTCTGGATAAAGGTGTCCGTGAAGAGGACTGACTATACCACAGAGCACCAAAGGAACAACAAATATGTTTTGGAAAAAGTGTAACCAAGGGGGCAAGGATGATGAAACGCCATTTTGTACACTTCGGGCTTGCTTTCAGGAGGTAACAGTCCTTGGAAAAAAAGACATCATGCTGTGAAAAGTAAAGTCAGCAAAAGAGGGGAAGCCCTTCCACAGGATAGATGGACACAGTAACTGCAGCAAGAGCATGGGGATTGCAAGGAGGGTGCCGGCTAGGGCCAGGTTGTAAGATGACTTCGGGTTGTGGCCAACTCAGCACCTAACAACAATAGTAGTATTTCTCTCCTTTGAGGGTATAAATAAGGCATCCTAGTCAGCTATCAATAAATCGCTAAAAATGTACTTAAGTTTTTTTAAATTAACACTGCATTAAGTGTTTTCTCCTATTTGTTTTATACAACATTAGAACAAAAGGATAAGAGAACGAGGAAAGGTTTGAGGGGGAAAATTTGTATGGGAATGGCAGTCTAAGTCATCCTCCAATAAAAGAGGATGATGGCTACCATGAACATGGTAATAGAATATTCTAGTATTTTAAACCCGATTCTCTACAGAACTCTATGTACACTGTGTATAAAACTAGATCCTAAAGGGAAAAAAAAATCAAATGGACAGAGAAGCTGTGGTATATTCACACAATGGAATACTGTGCTGCATTGAAAACCAAGGAACTCATGAAATACTATACAAAATGGGTGACCCTGAAGGACATTATGCTGAGTGAAATATTTCAGTCACAAAGGGACAAACACTGCATAATGCGACTGTTCTAAAACAGGACTGACAATGGGGTTAGGGCGGAATCTAAGAAAAGAGGGTTTAAATAGTGTATAATGCACTGAAACAGATGAGGGAGAGAATTGTTTGAAAGGAATATATTAGTTGCTATTTACATGACAAGAGTCCAGCATAAGAGCTTCATGGTGGGAGTGGACTTGTATAATAATTAAAGTTTGGGTTTTTTTTTTTAACTTTTGAAAGAAAAAAAACCAACCGGGAGGCAGGGTGTGCAGAGAGGAAAATGTGCAACAATGAATGAGTGGACATCCAAAGTCTCTATAAACTGTCATTACAATTTCAATAAAAAAAATAAAAGAAATAATGTAAAATTATTATAAGAATACAAAAGTAATTAAAGCATTCCATGGATATTTTAAATTAAACCTGATAGTTTTCAGCAGAGGTGTTCTTAATTTTTCTGAATTTCAGGTGGCTTGAACGCACC